TGGAGTGCTTCTTCCAGATCCCCCCAAACATCCGTAGCTCCCCTTGGTGCCTCTTCATCGCCCAGAAGAGCAAGGACAGCTTCCCCTCCTCCGAGTCCAGGTCCTGCGGTGGCCTTGGCTGGTCCCCCCCAGGGGCCAGTGGCACCCTTGGGGGGGGCCGGTGTCGCCAGATCGGGCATCTCCTCCAGCAACGCCTCCTGGTTCCACGGGTTCTGTGCCTCTCTGAGCCTCCGGATGTAGGGGACGTACTTCTCCTTGATGTCCCCCACGTTGGGGATGTCCTCGGGGTCATCCAGCTCCAGGGGGCAGAACAGCCCCCTCTCCAGAGCCTGCCTGAGATCATCTGGCCATGCCGACACCTCCAAGGGCTGGAGGGTGTGGTTAAGCATCCATGCTTGGTTGGTGTCCTGGGTGCGCTTGTTCGCCTCCTGCGCCTCCTGAATGGAGCCCATCGCATCAGCCAGTGCCTGGCTGGCGTCGACACCCAAACCCTCCAGGTACTGATCTCGCAGCTTGGCCTTGAATTGCTCCAGGTTGACCTTCCTGAGGGCCCGGGCTCCCTCATTGGCCACCTCCTCTGCCGGCAGGGCCTGCATGCCCTCCTGGAGAGGCGCCAGGATTGCCATCTCATTGTCAAGCATCTCATCCGTGACCAACTCCTTGTGCCGCTGCCTGGCCGAGGACTCCTCCGGGGTCGGTTCCCGGTGTTCCCTCAAGGCCTTGTGCAGCTCTTCCTTCTTCCGAATCGCCTGGTCCACCTGGGGGTGGTAGAGCTGGAAGCTCTGAGCCTCTGCCTCCTGCAGGGACCGCTGCACCTTGACCTTGACCTCCTGGCGCTCCCGGACCTTCAACGCCTCATCGTCCGCCTCCATGGACAGGATCTCCTGCCGGATATCCACCCGCCTGTTCAGCGGGACCACGTCAGCCATGGTGATCTCCTCTGCCGTGTCCGTTTTCGGAGGAGCTCTCCCCAGGATCGTTCCGTCCACCAGGTTGCGGTCTGCCTGCGCCCGGGTACCACCGGGGCCAGCGGCACCCAGGCTTCCCCCATCCCGCTGCTGGATCCAGGTCGGCTTGCCCTCCACAATGAGCAGGTTGTACGTGACGCCGTCCGCCTCGTAGGTAGCAGAGGGTGACAAACTCCTTGCCCGGGCAGACCCAGCATTGATTGGCTGCCTCCGGCCACCCCGTGCCGCATGCCTTACACATGAATTTGTAGTCGGAGTGGCCGGCATCGAGTCTGTGCATCCGCTGGGTGCCAATGCATGCCTTATTCCGCTGGAACTGTGAGGCCCAGACCTCCTCCTGCCGGATCTGGATCTTCATCGGAACATAGGCCTCCAGGATGCGAACCACCAAGTCCTCCGTGAGATTCTTACCGACAAACTTGTGGAACAGGGAGACCGCCTCCTCCACCGTGACGTCCCTCAGCAACGTGGCCGCCGATGCCGGAAGAACCGGGAAGAGGTCTGGGAGGTCCACTAGCTTGAAATAGCCAGGACGGCCATCCACCGGCACCAGGGAGACCGGTTTGTTCACCGGGGCCGTGGTCTTCTGGGAGGCCGCCACGAAGCCCTTCAGCCTCTTCGTTGGTGGAGTAGCCCGCTCCGTGGTGACCGCATCGCTCATCTCCTTGTCCTCGTCCTCGGCGGGGCCAGAGGCACCCAGGCCGGGAGTCGGTGTGGAGAAGGCCACACGGAGCCGCTCCAGTGCACTGGAGAGGTCGTTCATCACATCGGTGGCCGATGCCGCCGGGGGCGCCTCGGGCTCATTCAACACCAGGCCGGCCGCCACAGCCGCCTCGCGTGTGCGGACTTCCTGGGCCTCCTGGCTGGCCATTTCCACCTCCTCCGCGGTGAGTGCCTGGTCCTCAATCAACTCGAAGGAAGTTGCCGAAGTCGCCGAGGAGGCCATTGCTTGTTCGGGGTTGGTTCGGAAGTGATTCCCCTAAATTTTTACACAAAGTTGGGTTCAGAGAACCCAAGATCCAAGCTTGAGCCAAAATGGCCGGGGCCATTATGGTCAAGCATTTCAAACACAGTTAATGTTTCCACATGCGTTTCAACATTAACAAAATATATTTGTTTGTATATATGCGTCTATGTATACATGTATGTATGTATATACAAATATATACATATATCATGTGTGTATGTGCGCGTACATATATGTGTACCGGGCTGTCCTCAGATCCCCTGCCAAAAGTTTAACTTCCAGTGAGTGGAATGGAAAGCCCGGCTACACCCTGAAAAGCTAAAAAGCAAATGGGATGGAGGGGAGCCATGCCACGCCCTGCCATGTCATGTTGTGTCTTGTCATGACATGCACGGCATGCATGTATACATGGCCGTCTGTCTCGGAGTGTCTTGTCTGTCTCTGTCTGTCTCTGCTGTCTGTCCCTGCCTGTCTCTGTCTGTCTCTGTCTGTCTCTGTCTGTCTCTGTCTGTCTCTGTCTCTGTCAGTCTCTGTCTGTCTCTGTCTGTCTCTGGCTGTCTCTGTCTGCCTCTGTCTGTCTCTGTCTGTCTGTCTATCCGCCTGTCGATCTGTATGCAAGAATGCCATTCATGCAGGCTTGCTTGCTTGCTTGCTTGCTTGCGTGCGTGCTTGCTGCTTGCGTGCTTGCGTGCTTGCGTGCTTGCGTGCTTGCGTGCTTGCGTGCTTGCGTGCTTGCGTGCGTGCGGGCGGGCATACGTGCTTGCGTGCTGCTTTCGTGCTTGCGGGCTTGCGGGCGTGCAGGCTTATATGCTTGCGTGCTGCTTTCGTGCTTGCGGTCTTGCGGTCTTGCGGTCTTGCGTGCTTGCTTGCGTGCATGCTTGCATGTATGTGCGTGCATGTGCGTGTATGCTTGTAGAGGTACGGACGTACGGAGGAAGGGATGGATGGATGGATGGATGGACGGACGGACGGATGGATGGATGGATGAATGGATGAACGGATGAATGAATAGATGGATGGATGCATGCATGTATGTGTCTATGTATGTATGCATGTATGTGTGTACGTATGCATGCATGTGCATGCATGTATATATCTATGCATACCGTATGCGTGTATGTGTGCATATGTCTAGTGTGAATGTGCGTATGTGTGTATGTGTATGTGTGTATGTCTGCCTGCCTGCCTGCCTGCCTGCCTGCCTGCCTGCCTCTCTGCCTGTCTGTCTGTCCGTCCGTCCGTCCGTCTGTCCGTCTGTCCGTCTGTATATATATGTGTGTCTGTATGTGTGTGTGTATGTGTGTATGTCTGTATGTCTGCATGTGCGAATGTATGTGTGTATGTATGCGTGTATGTATGTAATGTAATGTAACGTAACGTAATGTAATGTATTGTAATGTAATGTACTGTAACGTAATGTAATGTGATGTAACGTAACGTAATGTAACGTAACATAATGTAATGTAAATGTAATGTGATGTATTGTATGTGCGTATGTCTGTACGCATATTGCATGTATGTGTGTATGTATGTGTGTGGGTGTGTCTGTCTTTATGTATGTATGTATGTATGTATGTATGTATGTATGTATGTATGTATGTATGTATGTATGTATGTATGTATGTCTGTGTGTATGTGTGTATGTACGTATGTACGTATGTACGTATGTACGTATGTACGTATGTACGTACGTACGTATGTATGTATGTATGTATGTATGTATGTATGTATGTATGTATGTATGTATGTATGTATGTATGTATGTATGTATGTTTGTGATGTTTTGTTATGTTATGTCATGTCATGTCATGCTATGAAATGTTATGTTATGTTATGGTATGTGTTGTTATGTTATGTTTTTTTTTTTTATGTTAGGTTGTGTATGTATGCATGCATGCATGCATGCATGCATGCATGCATGCATGTAGGTAGGTAGGTAAATAAGTAAGTAGGTAGGTACGTAGGTAGGTAGGTAGGTAGGTATGTATGTATGTATGTGTGTGTGTCTGTCTGTCTGTCTGTCTGTCTGTCTGTCTGTCTGTCTGTCTGTCTGTCTGTCTCTGTCTGTCTGTCTGTCTGTCTGTCTGCATGCATGCATGCATGCATGCATGCATGCATGCATGCATGTATGTATGCATGTATGTAATGTATGTAATGTATGTAATGTATGCAATGTAATGTAATGTGATGTGATGTGATGTGACGTGACGTGATGTGATGTGATGTGATGTAATGTAATGTAATGTCATGTCATGTCATGTCATGTAATGTAATGTAATGTAATAATGTAATGTAATGTAATGTAATGTAATGTAATGTATGTATGTAATGTATGTATGTTTGGTTGTTGGTTGGTTGTTGGTTGGTTGTTGGTTGGCTGGTTCGTTGGATAGTGTTCTGTTTGTTGAATTGATTGGTGGTCAGTTGGTTGTTGGTTGGCTGGTTCGTCAACTAGTTGTTTACGTGTCGGATTGTTGGTTGGTCAGTTGTTTGCTGGCTGTCGGTTGGTTGTTGGTTATTGCTTGGTTGGCAAACGAACGCTTCAACAACCGACAACCTTTTGCTGGTTGAGAAAATGAAGAAACACTCACGAAAAGCGAAGTCTGGCAATGCGTCATTGGCAATTGATTCTATCCGGGAACTCCTCTGGAAAAGCAAACTATTGGGCAACTGGGCAACTCAAACAGACTCAAAACTGTGCGAGGAACTGGCAAGATGTATGAACATGCTTGTGAAATTCGCCCACCTTGCGGGGCCGTTATATTTCCACCCAAATACGTTGCCCCTTGAATGGAACCCTCAAATATAGCTGCAATAACTAAAAAATAGGGCCACTGTCCACTTCTAGGGAGTCCCCACTGTTTGGGGAGTTGCACCCTAATCCGGACCGATTCTTGGAGTTCCAAGCCCCCTTGGCCCACAAGCCGTCCAGGAAAATCAGACTTGGGTGTGCAACCAAAACAATACACCTTAAGACGCACCCATGTTCAGACCTCTACCTATTCAAACCTCTTTTACCTAAAACCCTTGGAGCGATTGGAGCGGACCCCGTCCGCTCGGCTCGCCTCTCGAGATCCTTGCGGATCCGCCCGCAGTCCGGGACCTTGGAGTGCCCAGTGGCGATGATCCAGTCCACCTGAGCGAAAGTTCAGCCCGTGTTTTTGGGATCTGTCGAAGGAAACGACAAAAAACGTCTTGGGAAAAACATATTGGACAAAAATACATATTGGAAGCACTTATTGTGTCAAAGGGAAAAACTTATTGGCTCACTGTATGCAATCCTGGAGGCCAGCGAGAAAACTGGCCGACGACTTTGCTAGTTGTTGCTTTTTGCCAGTGCTCCACCGGCCCTAAAAGCGACACTCTGGGTCTCAGCCCGCATTTTGTTCCCTTTCCGTCGAAGAGAATAGCGACTGAAAAAGATGAACTCCAAATAAACCTGGTGTCCCGAAAACCGTGGAGCGCCGCTTTGGATGGCTGAAAGGGAAGGAAGCAGAAGGAAACCACATCGAGATTCCCGAAACTTGGAAACACTGGGTATGGTTCGCAAACCCAGTAGCATACTAGAAGAGTACTAAAAGATTACTAGAAAAGAACCAACAGGTGGAAGAACAGGTGAAACCCACAAAGGGCGCATCCAAACCGTTTTCTAGCTAAGATGATCAAAAAACACCTGGCACCAAAAGCTTGAAAATTGGAAGCTGAACAGCTAAGCTGATCGGATCTCTGAATTCCGAGCTTTTTGCACCCTTTTTTTCGGTCATCTATCCAACCGGACGATTCCATGGGCAGTTCCGAGGATTTTTGGGGAGCCTGCCACTTCCATGGAATCGCGCGACGGATTCCACAAAAGATACTTCGTAAATGACCAGCAACCATGGTTATACGTTATAAGTAGTAGTGTTCAACTAATCAACCGTGGCTGTATTTCCCCCAAGTGGATTGAAGGATACTAACTTAGCTTGAAGCGAGCGGGTTGAAGCCAAAGTCCCCACTTTTTGTTTGCCACTCAAATGAACTCAAGAAGTATCAATGAAAATCCAACCAGTATCAAAATCTGACAGTTCCGAACTTCTCAAACAGGAATCCTTACATTATACACCTGAACATTGCCTTGTAAATGGTGGTTTCCCTTTGTTTTGGTGGAAAAAGCCATCTTTCAGATGGGCAAGATGTATTTTTGTTAAAGAGCCCTGCAAAAAGTATCTTAAAACATCTGAGAAACTCAAGCAAAAACTTCGACCGCGCCTCCCCCTCTGTGTATGCACGGTTGGGCACCAGGCGCAAGCACAGCCTCGGGTCGAAATCGATTTTGGTGGTATTTTTGCTGATGGTCCATGAACAAGAACTTGCATAATCCTAAGCAGGGCTGTGGGAAATGACCACTTCTGTGATACAACAAAAATGACCTCCCAAAGACCAACCCCGCATAGAAAGAGGGGATTCTCTTGTATCACAGAAGTGGGGATAAACCCCTTGATCCCACAACCCTGATCCTAATGGATGGACGGAATCTGAATATGTTCGTTGCAGCCTCTGTAGATGGACGGAATCCTGGGAAACCATTGCTTGCTAGCATTTGCAGGGGGATCATCATTCCAGGGTTCCTTGGGTGGCGCAGGATCTCGCCCATCCACAGTATGGGAGTTTCTCAAAATCGACCCCTTCAGGTTGGTAATCGAAGGAAAACCCGAAAGGAGACCGATGCGATTCTAGGGGATCGCTCGTTTTAGAAAACCCGCACTGGGGGATGATCAATTTTCCTGCAAATGGCCATGGCTTACTTGTCCATTTAGTGGGAGATATCATCTTTTGGTGGTTGTCCAACCAATGGTCATCCCAAGTAAAGGACCTTTTGTGCAACCCCCAAATGGGTGATCTCCAACACAGACAGTGGCAGACATCAATTGCCGACCCTCCGACGCTCAACTCGCACAACTTTGATGGTAGGTCAACTAACCCCGGTTGCTCCAGTTTTAAAGCGAAGGCTTCTAACCTCCAAAATTCGTTGACCCTCGGGGGTTTATCCGTTGAACCTCCCGCCACCCGCCGGGCCGCCACAGCGCGGCCAGGCGCTGCGCCTTGCCCTTCAGGGGCCACTGCTTCAGACGCTTGGCCACCAGGAAGCTGGCGAGGGGCGCCTTGCCCGAGCGAGCCACGGAGCCACGCGGAGTGCGGAACCGGAGGCGTCGAAAAATCGAGCGCCGGGACCTGTGACCCGGGGGGGCAAAAAGCCGGAGACAGGGCTGTCTCAACAAATCTGGAAACCCTGGAAAAGGTCGGTGTTTTTGGCTTCCCCCGGCAAATGAGTCGTGAGGCGGCCCTGCCGGGAAGGAGCCTGCCGACTGCTCGAGCCAGGACGCCACGCTGGCGACACATCCATCATCTTCCTTTTGTAGGTTCCACTTACACTACCCGGGGAATAGGGCATGGTGCCATCTACTCTTGCTCAAAAACAAGAACACATCAGCCCCTCCTTCCCTTCCCTTTTGTTCTAGGGGTACCTTCCCCATTCTTTCCAGGGATCCTTCTTTCTAGAAAACCTCCGGAAACCTTTTTTGGAAAGAACGGCCGGTTTTGGGAAAGAACGCTGGAGGGGTGTCTAAAATTGGGGCCCCCAAAAAGTGTGGCTTCCCTTTAAATCCATCCAAGAAGCGCACCCTCAAAAAAGGAACCCCCGTGTTTCAGCCGATAAACATCAACTCTGTGGCAGAGGAATGGACCAGGAATCAACCCCTAGAATGGTGGGGAAGTCCATCTCGCTGGCGGGAAAGTCCGTCTTTCCAGAAAACCTCCGGACACCTTTTTGGAAAACGGCCGGTTTTGGGAAAGCACGCTTGGAAAGAATGGACAAGGAATCAACCCCTGGAGTTCTAGGATCACGGCCCCTGGCACGCAACAACCTAAGCCTCAAACGCAGCAACCAAATTCCGACGGCCGCCTCCAGGGCGCCGCGGGCGGCCAGCGACTCCGCATCCTCCGCGGCTCCGCGGCTTCGGAAGCCGAGAAGAGATCTTGGTTGACGTTCTGAAAGGGGCAGGGTACTTAGTAAGTGGCTAGTAAGTCAGGTTATAACCCACCTACCATGGTTATAAGTCTCCTAGGTGGGTTATAACCTGGCTTACCAACCACTTACTAAGTACCCTGCCCCTTCAAGTTGGAAGGGGAGCAACAAAAATTCTCGAAGTTTAGCGGTTCAGTGGTTGGATTTCAACCACTCAACCACAAGAAGGGCAAACACGTACAAGGTTTCCCAACAACAACCATGAGATCGCCCCGAACAACACAGGGGGGGGAGGGGGCGTATCCCGCAAGCCAGATGGATGCCTCTTATGTTGCCGGAAACAATAAAATAAATGGACCGCCAGTGAATCGCGAAATTTCAGGGGTTCCTGTTCCCTCCAAATCCTCTCGAGGAGTCAAAAGGCAAACCCTGCCCTCAAAATCATGGGTATTTTTGTGGTTGTCCTTTGAAATGGCCAAGACAAATGGGTGCCCTCAAAAGAAGACAGCCTGGTTCTAGCTGTGCCCTCTCCCCATTTTCAGGCATCCTTCTCTTCAAACGGGCCAAACACCGGGTTCTGAAGAGAACCATGGGTGAAGAGAATGGGGAATCAACCCTTGCATGACATGTGAATAGTGGCTTCCAATGAAGCCGCCACTTTGGGAGGTCCCAATAAGGGAAATCGAGCGCCAGGCTTCAACCACGCAAGGGAGCAATGCGCTTTGAACAGGCGTTGCGCTATCCACCCCCAAAAGCATCCTGCACAGGGAAGCTGGGAAGTCCATCAAGGACTGTGGATTCGATTTCCCTGTCAGGACTCTTTGAACCTCGGCGCTGGACGTCTTGCAAGTGTTGTTCTTGATGTGGACCACTACACACACACACACGGTAACACTCTTGCAATATTTTGGGGACGTCGCCTTTGAAGCCGTCAGAGGAGAAAACATGTGCGAATAGAACACCCAGAGAGAATTTGCAGAGATGGATCTGGTGCCAGTCTCGTCAAATCGACCCTAAATTGAACCATGGATCATTTCAATGTCTTCCAAGAAGATTGCACACCATGCCGTAAACGTGCTCCACGCTTGTCACGCGTATGTTCCCGTGTTCGGCTACCCCAGCCACTCTGCTTGCAGATTCCGGCTCCTCAGACTCAGGCACGGCCCGGGGGAGAAAGCAGCGCACGTCCCCACGCCTGTGGCTGCAAATCTCCTGGCGCGAAAAAGCGGCGAAGGACCAACCTTGGTCCAAATCTGACCAAGGCCATTAGGGGAAGAAGTGACTGGGCAGGTTCTGAGAATTTTGCTAGGGGTTATTAGAAGGGCACGAAGACGTACTGTAGATGGACACAACAGTCGAAACCCCTACAATCAACCCCTCACACCCCCAAAGTTCAACCTTGCGCAGGGGGGTCCCTAAGTCAGTCCGTCGAAAGGCGATCCCTGCATTTAAGACTCAAGCAAAGCAAGCAGGGAGTGCAAGACAGGAGGCCAAATTGAAATCGACCATCTTCCGTCAAGACTAACCATGGATGTGGCTGGCAAACGACGCAAGGACGGCTTGCCATCGTCCTGTCCATCTACCCACCTATTATCTGCAGGCTTATGGGGGCTCTCAAAAGGGATCCAAACATTTTGAGAAACTCTCATAGCAGAACCCAAAAAAATGGGCATCAAACTGGCATCAAACCCTCCCTGGTCATGCTCAAATGAGCAGGAGGGAAACCTGGTTGACTTTTGAATGTACCGACCTCCAACCATCGTAGCTTTTTGGTTTCCAACCCACGAGAGGGTTTAGAAACCCATAGTTTGCTTAGAAAGTGTTGTACAGCACCTACAACAGGGCTCCCTATATTTCCCCTTAAAACATCACAACCACCAAGGGACACTCACCTTTCATGGGCCAAAAAGGTGATGTCTAAAATCACCAAAAAGGGAAATATAGGGACCCCTGTACAATCTCAATCAAAGGGAGTAGAACTCTTTTCCGTAATGGCCAAGGAGTGTTTGGGATGGATCACCGGATGAGCACATGTTTTGGGCGGTTTGATCACCGGATGAGCAGCGCACAAAAAAAGCACGCTTCTGGTTCTTCCGGAATGGCTTACTGCCCCCATGCGAGGTAGTCTGATTAACATGGCCCGATTGGAATCGGCTTTGAGACGCCATCACTTGCCCAAGGAGCTGGAAATAGAAGGTTCACCTACTTGGACCAAAATGGGAATACCAGCAGATCCGGGCGATCTGCTTTTGGGTCAGCATCCAACAGAGGGTGGTCTCCCCTCAAAAGAGCCAAATCTACCTCGCTGTCTCCCCCAAACGAAAAGTCACATGGTTGAGTCTGGTCCACATGCACTGAACCTGGACATGTATATAAAGAGCTTTCAAAAGTGAGCCCCAACATGGAAGCAACCTGTGTCCGCATGCCCGTCCTCTGCCGTCGGCATCGGTTGGCAGCAGAGCACCCACCACTCCCCGTCTTTGCCGTCGATGCGGAGCGGCGGTAGGGACTCCTGGTGGGGGAAAAAAAAAGCATGGTCATCTACTTGCCAGGTGGGTTGAACAGCCAGGTAAACCACCTCCATTGGGTTCCCCCCCAGGGGTCATTGCCCACTGGTTGGGCACACCACCGGCCCCCCTGCCCCCCCCTGCCCCCTTTGCCCCTGGCCCCCTGCCCCCGCGCTCCGCAGACACCAGGCACTCCACCGCAGGACCGCTTTCCGGCACGAACTCCATGCAGGGCACTTGGCTCTGCTCCTGAGCTTCGAGCAAAGCGTCCTGTCTGTCAACTTGCCGGCGCTCGCTCGGCAGGGAATGAGGGAAGGACCCTTCTAAACCATCCCTTGTGGTTTCCTTGGGGACCGTTCATTCCCATTCCCTACTGAGCACCAGCAAGTCAAAGGACCCTCCAACACGGCCGCGATGCTTTCGGTCCCCTTTATCCTGGATTGTTGGGACAGACAGACGCACAAACACAGACAAACACTGGCGTTTCTAGCCCAAACAGGGACTGCTGGACCCTTGCTCTCAGCGTGCTTCCCTTTAACGGTCAAGGGCGTCGGCACCTTGGACCACTTCTGTGATTGACATGGCCCTGCGACTGATTCCTCCGTATTGAAGCATCTCAGAGGAAACCAGCCTTGTGCCATCCTCTAGATAAATCGGGTGGTTGACATCAGCACAGAATACAATTCACTCTGCCCCTATGAAGCAATCTGGTACATCAAACAGCTCATCATTTCCATCCCAGCTGTGTTTGTGAAAAAACAAACACGCTGGTCTGCTAGTAAGCTGAAAGCCAAACTGATTCCAGTAAAACCCTGCTATGCTCCAAACTGACCTACAGGCGCAAATGCGGAGGCTTCGACCCGCTGCAAAAAATGCTATCTTGATTTGAATCAAAGGGAGAAATGGAGGAACCCCATAAGGGTAAAAGAGAAAACAGGTGCCTAAAGTCTGACCCAGGAAAGCAGCGCTCAGGCCGCAAGAAGTTGGTCAAGCTGGCGATGAGCAGTGAACAGGGCCCCCTACATATCCCGTTGAAACATCACCCCGCCAAAAGAAACACACTTTGAATTGGCCCACAAGGTGATGTGTAAGCCAACCCAAGGGGAAAGATGGGTGTATGTGTGTGTGTCAGAACATGAGGACCCCCCAAAAAAGTTGGTTTTCTTCGTTTCCCCTTTTGGTCCACTTGGAACCGGTACCTCACAAGGATCGCCTCAATAAACACAGACCCATGGCCGAACAAACTCCCGATCTTGTGACAAACCGCCTGCCATCAACCGAACCGGCTCTTGGTTGACGTTGGAAGGGGAGCAAAAAATTGAATTCTAGCAGTTAAGTGGGGCGTTCAACCACTAAACCGTGATAAGAACAAATGTACAATGTGTCCCAACAACCATGAGCTCGCCTCCGACACGGAGCTCCAACGACATCTCGCCGATGTCGCCACTTCCTCGCCCCGGGGGCCTTTGAAGGACACGCAGACCTGCGAAAAGCGCAACGCGCGCCCATGAGCGACGACTCGACATATGGGTGGCGCGTCTCTTTTTTGGAGTTAGAACCCACTTGGTTTGCGGGTTTAAACGGAACCCATTGGGAGGGTCCCCCCAAAAAGTGTCCGCCTGTCTTCCCCCAAAGGACATGGCATGTGTTGGGTGAGGAATCTTGCGGGACTTGTCTGTATCACCACGCCCACCCCAAGTGAGCCCAACATCAGGGGGGCTACTCAGACAGCTCCAGGCCATCCAAGTCATGTCCGTTCACCCCGAAACGTCGATTCGTCTAGCCGGAGATCTCCGAACCGCACAACTCGTCTGATTGCCACGGAACCGCTTGGCCTCGGAATTCTAACAAAAGCGGATCTAAGCTCGCGGACAGGGAACCGACAAGTTGGCCATGGTGTTTGGCATGTGTGGTTCCAAAATGGCGATGAACGGCTCTCCTTTTTGGTGTCCCTGTCAAGACCAAGGTGTACCAACTCCAAAAAAAGACGAGCCACCCAGGTCTGAAAGGACACCCATTTCGAGCTTTGCCATTAGCAAGGTGCTCCAGTAGACCGAGCATCCAAAAACCACAAAGCCTCCGAAACCCCCAGCTGACTTTTGGATCCAAATTAAGCCGGGCAGAACCAACTACAGTGGCCCATGTGCGTGTTCGCCTAGAGGGGGATTTACTCAGCCAGTGACTGCAGAGCACATCAAACTTCTGAACATCGCCGCGCAGGACATCTTCCTGCAACTCAGAACAAAGCAACTTTGCACCTGGAAATCCCATCTCGCCCATTGAAACGGCGCAAGGGAAACGCAGCACAGCGAAGCAAGCAACATGCTTCGTCTTTCCAATCAGAAGTGCAATGGATCGGCGACCTTTTTGAGTGAGCAAGATAGCCATATCGCATGGCCTCACGTCTGCCCGCAGTCTCTGCAACCCACACCGCCCCACGTGTGACAGCTGAGCCTCATTCAAAACATACAGACAAAGCCAGCGGAACGGCTGCCAAAAATGTGAAGCCAAGCCAAGATCTGCCGGCAGGCATCCAAACTTCGCCCCAACCGGCCAAACGCGGAAGCAGTCGGCTTCGTTCGTCCGCCGGTTGACAACATACACATAAAATTGGACCAATCCTGCAAAACATGCGTCACCACACGTTTCCCCTCAGCAATGTGGGTGTGCCTTTGTTTGAGGCCGCCCTTTCTTGGTGGCTAAGGAAACATGAAAGCCAAAAGGAAACCCTGACTCCACTGGGGCCTTAAAAAAGAAAAGCCGAGCCAGCCATGGCATTTCAAGCTTGGCAAGGCACCCTGGGGGGGGGTCCATTCCCAAAAAAGAAGCCGAGATGGCTGTGGGTCAAAAATAAATACCCAAAATGGCACCCTGGTAAAAGGAGACATGGACATTGAAACCTGCGCTGGTGGTTTGAGTTTGACCCATACCCATTTGGGCGTGGCTCAAAAACCCGGGACCAAAATGGCTTGCCCTGGTAAGTGGAATGGACCAAAACCTGCGTAAGCCTAGCTCTTTCATTTTTGAGCCACGCCCATTTGAAGAGATTTGTGGAGTTCCTCAAAGTCAGGGGAAAGCCGACTCAGGAATCGGTCCCTAGTTTTGAGCAACGCTCATTTCCTTAGCGAGCTCACTTAGCTCGAGGGAGGCGGCGGAAGGGGCCTTGGCCAGGAAGCCCTCGTCCTCTCCCAGGAAGACGACGCGGTAGGCGGCGAAGGTGCAGAGAGACCCAGGACCTGGGGGCTGCGGTGACTGGGCGGGTCGTTTTCAGATCCCCCGCGAAGAGTGAAGCACGTTTTTTTCTGGGTGAAATGGAAGTCCAACCACTGAACACTAAGAAGCTAAAAAGCTAATATGCTAAAAAGCTAATATGCTAAAAAGAAAGAGCTAACGGGATGGCTGAAAACCAGCAAGTTGAGCGGACGAGTTGTTTCAGCAAGCCGAATTCCAATTTGAATTGCAGTGTTAAGTTCACTACAAATTCACAATGTTAACATTGTATTTTTCTGATACATCGTTCGATTCAAGTTCTAATGAGTCCTATTCGAACCCAGGTTGGATGTTTGACATGGTTTTCCAGTTCAATCTAAGGGTTTGCCCTTTCCGCATTTAACCAAAGAACCAAAGGAAAGCGAACTATATCCAAATGATGCGTTGCTTAGTTGATTCGACTTGATTGCTTGTTAAGCTCGGTTGACAATCAAGCATGGGAAGGAAGCTTCAAATACAAAGCAAAATTCAGTTTAACAGATTGTATTCCTGGTACACATCGACTGAAGCTCTAATTACGTCCCATTTAAAGCGAATTTTGGAGAACAATCCAAGTTGGATTTGCTATTCGACATTGGAATTGAATACTCTCGTCTATATAAGTCCAGTCAAATGTTTGGCAAACACGACCTGAGCCAAGCCACAGTAAAGTGAGGCTAGAAATTGATCATATGCTTCTCAGCATTGTCCTAGCATGTTGTTGCCCTTTGAACAAGTCGAACTGAGCACTTCTCGTGGCAAACAAATAGGGTCTCAATATGGAAGTAAGCTTGAAAGCTCAATCGTCGATCCAGAGAAAAACAATCTTGGAAGTGGGTTGAGAAACTTTCACCTTCTTGGTGGCGTTGCGAGTTGGCCAGCGTCGAAGAATCTTTGCTTGGGGAATCTTTGATCTTCAATCATGGATCCAGAGAAAGCAGAGTCCAGCCAAGTTTTCTGACACCGCAGATTTACCGTAACCACCGAAAGTGCCCAGCATTCCAGCAGAAAACCAAGACCTGCGAAGCCAGCCGAGCAAAAAAGCAAACAAAAGCTCAAAAAAGGTATGCTACGGGAAAGGTGTTCCCGGAAAACCCAGCAAAAAACAGCAAGAAAAATAGAAATGCTTGGGTTGCCCCAACCTGGGTTGCCCCAACCTTATTGTTTGCTTTCTTCTCGAGGATGGTTGTGCTTCTTTTCCCTGGCAGATTGCGTTTTCTCGAGGTTTTCAGGTTTCTGGGGGAAGCCGCATACTGCTTGAGAACCCGCAATTCGAAATCTGAAAGCCGAACTGGTGTCCAAAACGTCTTCTGCCAAGAAGCACACAAGCCAGAAAAGCTTGCAAAAGCGCGCTTTCAACATGAAAAGAAGCATTGCTCAGCGGGCCCCTTTCTGTAATTTTGACTATGGAGATCTGGTGCGGAGCCGTGTGAGTCACAATCAAAACTTGGTGTTGAAGAGGACGATTGACTGCTCAAATGCTGCTCTCCTAAGGGCAACAGTCAAGGCCAAGTCATGGAACCGATTCTTTCCAGGACACCCCAGCATAGAAAATCAACAGCAGGTACTTGTGGTGTCTGTATGGCTGTGGCTGTTTCGCCTACCCAAACCCATGGCGAAGAATCAAAGGCACATGTAAAAATCCGAACCAATTTTGGGTATGTATCTCCATCTATCCGAACCGGCTTTGCGTTCAAACTGTGTTTCCTTCTAGCCTCCATTTGCTGAAGACCTCTGGAAAAAATGAACACGTTTTCCAGTGGTACATTCCCTTTAGAAATCGACCAGGGTTTTTGTTTTAAAGCAATCTTGAGCAAATGCAGGGGTACATTCCCTTTAGAATCAAATGGTTTTGTTTAGGGGAGACTCTTCTAACAAACCGACCTTAACTAGGTCCTCCAGTAGACAGGTTCGAATAAGGTTTACTAGGGCAACCCTCCCAACCAAAAAAGAAACAGAAAAAAGGGCTAGCTGGGGGACCTAGTTGAAGACTTTGAGGCCATTTTTCTCCCATCCCTCGTTTTGTTTTCACGTGGCGCCTTCACGGTTTGCCTCCATAGGTGGCCTTTTGGAACAAAAATAGATGGGTTTCCCTGGTAAATGGGGCATAAACCCCATCAAAACCAGGCGAACCCCTGTATTTGTTTAAGCAAACCAACCAAAAAGGACATAGTGGATGGACGAAATCCTGCACCACTTGGAAAACCATGGGAAATCATGGTTGGTTGGTATTTACAGGGGAATCAACATTCCAGGTTTTCTTAGCTGCGAAGTGGATTTCGCAACCATCCACAGTAGGCAAGCAACTGGAGGGTACCGGGTTTGAGCCCCCCGTACGCTCGCATCTCGCGTCAAGGCGCCCAGCACCTGGGCCGCCGGCGCCGGCAGGGCGCCGCCCTGCAGCAGCTGCTGCTGGCTGTTCAGCGGCAGCTGCCTCGGAGCTGCGGAGCTTCGGAGCGGAACGCGCGGTTCACGGTTTCGGGCCCAAACTAAAGACCTTAGGTCTAAGATGGTTCCACTGCCCCTGAAAAAAAAATATGTATAAAAAACAAAAGATTAAAAAAAAAAAAACTACTTTGAGGGGAGATGAGGGCGTTTTCCCTTTACATCCTGGTATACCCTTTACATAGTGGTCTGTTACCCCCCCCCCCCGGCGGAATGCCCGAATGCACAGGTGAAATACAAAGAGCCAGCCTTTTCACAGATGTTATCCTCATGTGCAAGTTTATCAAAATACCCCAAACAAAATTATCCAGGCTACATTGGGGATGGTCCGAAAGGAGTCCCAATTGGTGGCTGGACCTTGCCCAGGACTTGCCTGTACCCTACAGTATTTTATTTTCGGGTTGAGGGGGCCCTCTTTGGATGTGAACGCCTCAATTTGGGGAGTCCCTGTGTTTCCTGCATTCCCGAAACGTACCACACTGAAGCCTGCTTATAATGGCAGATAAATGCGTGGGATTGGGTAGAACTCTTTATCAGCGGGTTTGATTGTGACTCAGTCCACCTCCCTCGAACAATCGGGTTTGCTTTGCATGCTTACCCCCCCCCCCCCTCCCTGCTGTTTGGGTGGTTTCTAAACTGGGCAACCAGAAGCAACCCAACCATTGGGCGCTCCACTTGGAGAGGACAACGACATGAGTTGCCAAAACATGTGGGGGGATGCGACTGCTTTTGGCACACATCCAAATCATACCGTGAAGGAGCGCTGGGTATCCCACGGATTGGTGCGTAAGGGCCCAAAGAAAATTCATCTCCCCAACCAGATCACTTTAAATGCTTAAAATCAGGTGATGCTTACCACCAGCAAATAGGAACTATGGGGAATTTTGTCTGTTGACAGTTCCCACCCAAGCATTTCGCCATACAATGGTTCATCCTTGTGAACCAGGAAATCAATACGCAGATGTTTCATTCCCCAGTGAGTGGGAGGAATCGTAAATTCGAGGGGATGACAAGCCCAAGATGTGGAGCTGGTGTGCCATCTACTTTCACCCAGCTACAACCAATTGATGCAATTGTGTCATCACAAGAACAATGTCTGCATGTACTTCTTTGGTCCTTTATGGGAACCCCGGCTTAATCAGCCCCAGTTGAATGGGGTGTCCCTAGGCCACTTTTGGAGCCCCCTGGTACTGAGACTGGTTCTACTTCGATCCGGAAAAAGCGCCAGCGTCCAAACGCGCCCGTCGATGCCAGGAAGCCACCAGGCCTTGCCGCAAGACAAAACGAGCATATGAGCCTTGTTTTGTCCGGAACCAGACCCCCAAAAAACCGATTTCTGGGATTCCGGTTGCTTGCTTTTTAAAACCCCCAAAAGAGAGGACCCCCAGCAAAGACCCCCCAACCTGGAGGTTTTCCGTTTGGTTTCCCCTAAACCGACCTGAACAGGGTCAAGGAAAAATTCACGCGCCCAGCGGGCGAACCGAAGCTAGCAGCTGTTGTATGAGACGGGTCGGAAACAGAGTGGATTGAACAGGTAGCTTGCGCACCATGAGAGGCGCCGCAAAGATTCTTGAGATGCTACACAAACTGACATGGTGGCCTGGCAAGCGTGAAAATGAAAATAACGAGAGGTGCCTGGAGGCTGTCGTAAAGCACCACTCAGGGGTCTAAATAATTGACTATTGCAATTGTTTTGGCTCAACAAAATTATTTAAAAAAAAAAAAAAAGAAAAAAAAAAAAAAAAAAAACATTGTTTTCGGTATTTCGGCCCCTTGCCCTGCCTACGCTAGGAGAAACTTCAGCTAGCTTAAGCTAGCTTTCGTGACAAATCACTTGTTGTGATTTGATTTCAACAACAAATCTAACGGAGTCTCCCCATTCTTTCGCCAAACGCCTATATGTGCCGCGGTCAACATACGGTATGGCGCTGCCTGGAGTTTCCGCAGCGAGTGTTCCTGGTGATCGTGGCGTGACATTCAGAGCATCAGACAATCTAAAAGAAGTGTTGACTGAACCCTCACATGTCTTGCCAGGCAAGGAGTAAAAACGAAGACCCCAATCTACAAAACCGGCAGACCATCTATCTTTCCAACAAGGTAGTGTCAAAAGAAGCTCCCGTCTGTCTAATAGGGGGGAGTGATTTCCCAGCCCTGGCTGTGTTTCGACAACCCAGTGTTGTGAACCTTAGAACATGTAAACGAACTGAAAAAACATCTCAGATTAAGGAAATTACATGAATAATTCTGGGTTTAGCTTTTTGTTGACCCCAAAATGCTGGCATTCCTTTTGGTTTCCATTTAAACCAACCCCAAAAAGGTGCTGATTACCTTCAAACAAAGACACCGCCACATCCGATGGTTGACATCGCATCGAGTGCCTTCTTAGTGTCCGGCTTCCGGGACCTGGGCAGCGGAAGCGGCGGACGCGGCTGGTGCGTGGGCCACAGGCAAGGCAAGCAGGTTATAACCATGGTAAGCGCACTGACCCTAGTTATCCCAATTACATGGTCGCAAGCCACAGGGCAAGGCAGGTTATACAGATGGTAAGAGGACTGACCTTAGTCCCGATTCGAACCTGATAGTCAATTCTACTGGGATTACAACCAGTTCTCCCAAAACACCCGATTACAACCAGTTACCCCATTATGTTCTTGTGACCTACTGACGTGGGTTGAACATCCAAGTAATCTCTCCAGTTTCCAATCAAGGGGCCAGATTCCCATGGGCCCATCAAGGACCAGAATCCATATCCCTAACAACGGACCCCCCCGCAAGTAATTCTTGGCGGACTTGTTCATCAGGACGTACTTAACATGGACATGGACGTCAAAACGAATCGCCCGGAAGAAAACAAGAAAGAGCTCATTAGTCACACTCATGATTCTCTTGTCATCACAACTTCATTTGATCTTAACATACCCCACAACCGAATTGTAATCGTACAGGTCTTTACAAGAAGTTGGGGGTCACCAGCAAAGGAGTCAGTCCAGCAAAAAATGCGCAAGCAACAGCAGGTCCTTATTGTAGGGTCTGTGTTTTGGGCTTCTTGGCTTGAGCGAGGACTGGCATCGCAAAGCCCTAGCCCACTCAGACTGCTCATCCGGGACATCCTAAACTCAGATAGGGCTTGTCTCCAAATGAGACATGGCCATGGGTCAAAACCCGTACCCCCAGTCAACATCCCAATCCCCACTAAAATAGGGTAAAATGGGTGCTGCACCACCCCAAAATGGTACCACCCACAGCCATAGGACCCCCCCTTAAAACACTGAACAAAAAGGGAACTTCTGTTTTCCCAGCAAGGCTTCATGCTCACGCTACATGATTGGTTTTGAGATCAAATGCCGTCCTCACTAGAACCTGGATCATATCCAGGTTTAGAACATATAGTGTAGATTTTCCCAATGAGGATGGCACGAATCTGGATGAATGGTAACGTTGACCTCAGATTAATAAATTCCTGGTCACTTTTGGAGGGAACACCTATTTATAGGACGGGTTTCTTAATCTGGGGTCAACATTGGTAGATCAAAAACCTTCATCATGAACACGGCACACCAACATCCTTAGGGTACAAATGGGTGTTTTCCTCAACAGCCAAAAGCTGAAAAGGATTTGGTTTCGGGAGCCCTGGAGTCAGGTTCGAGCAAGGTTCTGGAGGTTTCGGGGTGGTCTGGCGCAGGCCAGGTGTAAGGTTCAAGGCAGCTGTGGAGGTTCCAGGGTGGTCTGGCACAGGCCAGGCGTAAGGTTCAAGGAAGTTTCGGGGTGGTCTGGTGCAGGCCAGGTGTAAGGTCCAGGTCAAGGCAGGTTTCGGAGGTTCCGGGGTGGTCTGGTGCAGGCCAGGTGCAAGGTTCAAGGCAGGTTGCGAAGGTTCCGGCGCGGTCTGGCGCAGGCCAGGTGTAAGGTTGGTTCCGGGGTGGTTTCGGCGTAAGGTTCAAGGCAGGGGTTCCGGGGTGGTCTGGTGCAGGCCAGGTGTAAGGTTCAAGGAAGGTTCCGGAGGTTCCGGGGCACAGGCCAGGTGTAAGGTTCAAGGAAGGTTCCGCAGGTTCCGGGGTGGTGCAGGCCAGGTGTAAGGTCAAGGCAGGTTTCGGAGGTTCCGGGGTGGTCTGGTGCAGGCCAGGTGTAAGGTTCAAGGAAGTTTCGGGTGGTCTGGCGCAGGCCAGGTGTACGGTTCAAGGAAGGCTCCGGAGGTTCCAGGTGGTGCAGGCCAGGTGTAAGGTTCAAGGCAGGTTCCGGAGGTTCGGGGTGGACTGGTGACGGCCAGGTGTAAGGTTGGTTCCGGCATGGTGTGGGAAAGGTTTCGGAGGTTTTGCAGGCCAGGTGTAAGGTTCAAGGCAGGTTCCGGAGGTTCCGGGGTGGTGCAGGCCAGGTGCAAGGTTCAAGGCAGGTTCCGGAGGTTCGGGGTGGTTTGGTGACGGCCAGGTGCAAGAGTCCCCAACAGCTGAAAGCTTTGAGCCCAGATAGGCTCCGGGGTGGGCCCTAAGGGAAGGTTCCACGAGGGTGCCATCAGGGTCTGCGAGGGCTGCGGGGTAGTGCGAGCAGCACCGCATGCTGTTGAAGATATCACCTGAGCTTATTTTGAGGGTACCCGCAGAGTTGGTTGCAAGGGCCCCAACTGCCCATACACATCACCTTTGCTTGGCCCAAATCTAGGCTACAGGGGGGAGGGGGGGGAACATCCTGGTCCATATCTTTTCTACCATCTCTACCCTAAACGTTATCATCATGTTGGAGGACTACCCTCCAATATGGCCATGGGTCAAAACCCCGTACCCCCGGTGAACATCCCAACCCCCACTAAAATAGGTCCTACAATGGGTGGTGAATTCACCTACCAACCAAAATGGGCCCAAAAACGGTTTTGACCAGCACAGCCATATACCCATGGTACCATTTTTGGGTAGGTGAATTCACCACCAATTTAAATTTTAGGACCTATTTTAGTGGGGGCTGGGATGTTCACCGGGGGTACGATTTGGGCTTTGACCACCACAGCCATATATCATCATGTCGGAGGGAAAAAAAGAAGAAAAAAAACACATCCTGGCCCATATCTTTTCTACAATCTCTACCCAACATTTTATCAGCATGTTGGAGGACTACCTGAAAATATATATCATAATGTCGGAGGAAACCCACTTTCCGCGTTCCCCCCCCCCCCCCCGGTGCGCTCGATGGGTTTTCTCCAGGCCTGAAGAACTTGTCTCCGTCCAGCACCCACTTCACGCCGGACATGCAGAGCCGGACACCCTCTGGGACCTCCTGAGAAAGGACACCGTCAGGTCAGGTGCCCTTTGGGGTGCTAACGAATTTAGTTGATCTAAAAAGGTAACAACTCAAAAATGCTAGGGAGCGTGCAGTTTGGGGTGCTGGCGTAGGTGCTAATTGGGGTGTTGTTTGAGGTGCTGATGGCAGTGCGCGCGCATCTTTTCAAGATTGGCGGCAGGGTGCTAGGGGGCATGCAGCTTGGGCTGCTGTTGTTTTGGGATGCTGTTTGGGGCGCCATTTGGTTTTCGCGAGATTGGCGGCTGGGTGCGTGGGGGGTGCTGTTTGGGGTGCTCGTTTTGGGGTGCTGTTGGAGGTGCTTGTCATGGCGTTGGTGCGCAATCATTGCTATTTGGGGCGTATGCTGGTGTAATCTTACTATAACTGTTGATACAGAACACGTAAAGGAGTATTAAGATTAGTGTCATTTATTTTACCAACATTGCCCATGGCTTTTTCCTTGTCCAGTGTCGTCATTTTGACCAAGCATCCTCCATTTAATTTGCGTGCCAAGCCCGCTGGAAAACACAAACAAATATGTCCAGTGGTGATAGATTCCCTTTAAAACCAACCAGGGAAAACTGCAGAGATATGTCCAGTAGGACATGGAAGCTCCCCAAAGTCTTAGTCTTCATGCTGCGCGCATCCATCTCGCCGGGCCGAAACATGACCGGCATCTTGACCGAGCATGTTTTTCCTGGGCTCTCCGTTTTCAGATCCGCTAAAAGTGAATAACTTGTAGTGGGTGAAATGGAAATCCCCCCACTAAACACCGGATGGCTGGGAGCCACCGAGCTTATGACCCCAAGACCCCGGAAAAAGTCGGCTGAAACCGGGTCCTCGAAGACTACCACTGGTACAAATGGACAAACTCGACGTTAAGCTCTGCTTGGTAGATGGTTTATCCCAGTACTCATAGGGCTTCCTGGGCGCCGGAATATGCGGAAGGCTTCAGCTTCCAACCCTAAAGCACTTGGACATCAAACTCGCGTTTTATACAAGTTGAGCCCCACCTAGACAACACCACATCCCGGTTCCTTTCAGTGCCCTGAATTGGGGTTCGGAACTGAGCCCCAACCCAGGCATGGTACTGCTCGACGTAAGAAACCAGCGCTCCTTCACTCCCCTTTGTTAGAGGCAATCCATCGCAAAAACGGGAAAGCCTCCCCCCGAATTGGTCCGCCAGATTGATTCATCCGGGTTCGAAATACCCTCTGAAGGATGGGTCCTCGACTAGGAAGCAAGTTGCGTACGATTTGGTTTGACATGTTTTGGGGGAGGAAAGGGAAGGCTATAAGTGAAAGGAACAAACAGCATACAGAGCCTCCCAACCACATTGGAACCTGGCTCGGGTCCCTGGCCGGCATTTTCCCATGTCCCCTAAAAGAATCCTGCGAAGCGTCCATTTGCTGAATTGGTTTTCCCTTACACGGTTCCCAAAACGGTGTCAAAAAGCAGACCCTGTACTGGCACTGCAAACAAGGATGCGTTCCTCCACTTGCTGAGGGCCTTTTTCCATCTTTATGCCCACTTTTATCCGTTGGTTTGTCGAGGTCAACAGCTAGCCATGACTGATACAGATCCTATGTTTCTATGTTTCAGTGGCAAGCCAAGGAAAGATTGGGCTGGCTAGTTCCTTTCCGAACTCCTGGACTTGAGTCACCGTTCGGGTCCCGGCCATTTTAACAGAAACCAAGCTGTTCGCCTGAACTTGGTCAAACGGGCAGCCAAGTTCCGTGGCAACGAACATGGGAGAAGCGGACACCATGACCGGAACCTGAACAACGGAACGAACCCACTTCATTTCGCTCCCCATCCTGGACCCTTCCGCAACTTTTGGCTCCAACCATCCAACTTTTCTGGGAACATCCTGACTATGCCTGGTACACTTAACTTCGAATTCATCCGGAACAACCGTGCCAATCAGGGTAGTTCTCCTTTTGAAACAAAGATCACTATTTGGGGGGGGGGGCAGTCCTCTGACTCGTTTCGGGTCCTCCGAACGACTCCGAAGTTGACACGAGGGTTCCTGAGCTTCCCAAAGCCTTGGCTACTTGAAGATCCAGAGATATCCAAAGGACAAACGTCCCAAGCTCAAGTGTCGTCCCTTCTCAGTTGTCACCATGGTAACTCTGTACCCTGAGGCGGGCTGAACATCCGAACATCCCTGGCGGGGTATGCCCTTCATGTCAGAAATTGTGTCTTTTGCTGAGGGTGCCCCCCTCTCTTCATGGTTTTCAAAGGGAAACCCTCTCAGAAGCGACAAAAAAGAGTTGCAAAGGGGCCGCTTCGGGGATTTTCGATTTTCGAAAAAAATAAAATACGAGGAGCAAAAAAAAACTTTCAGGGACCGGGTCCCATCCCGGAAAAAGCAAAAACCACGAGGAGCGCCCCCACAAAAACGACAACGCGCGACGCGCGCCGCGCGCCGCAAAGCGTCGCTCCTCCAGGAAGTTCCTGCGACGCAGCTCCGCCTCCACAGCGCTGAGCAGCTGCAGCCGCTGCGTCGCTGCGAAGGAGGCGGCCTCACGGCCGGCCTCCCTGAAAAAAAACCGTCCCCATTCGCAGCCATGTCAGTTGGGGGATTGGACTGGGGAATCACATCCTTACAAACTCTACATTGAAATACGGTGGATGGACGAAATCCTTTTCGCGCCGCTTTGAAATCACGAAAATCATGGTTTGGTGGTATTTAGAGGGAAGATCATTTTTCCATGGCTTCTTAGGTGGTGCAGGAGTTCGTCCATCCACAGTACCAATAGACTCCCCTAAGATACCCCAAGTCCCTGCGAAGCTGCCATTTAAAAAGCACACATGACGGGTTCCCATGTAACATCGCCTGATCAGCGGGCTACTGAAACATTTAATCTTGCGCAGGACCCTGCGGCAAGTTGAACTTCCACGGGTCCATGTCCGCTCTTTTGGAGATGTCCATTGTACCGCCTTTGTCCTCTCTTTTGGTCAAGGTTCCCTAGCTGGGACATTGCAGGTATAGCCTTTCGTTTCTTAGAGTAGTAAAAAGTATAGTTGAGGAAGCACTGCGGTTTGGAACTGTTTGAACGCTTGGAAAGCTTCAAACTTTTCGAAGGCTTGGAACGTTTCGAGCTTTTCGAACAATTGGAACTTCTCCAACGCTTCGAACGTTTGGAAAGTTTCGCTCTTTTCGAACTTTTGGAGCGCGGTTCGAGCGTTTCGAACGTTTCGAACGTTTCGAACTTGTCGAACGTCTCGAACTTTTTGAACGTTTGGAACGTTAAACACTTTTTGAGCATTTCAATCGTTTCAAACTTTTCCGAACATTTTTGGAACGCGTCGAACTTTTCGAACGTTTTGAACGTTTCGATCTTTTCGAACTGTTCGATCGTTTAGATGGTTTCGAACTTTGCATTTTCAGCGTTCCAAAGTGTTCGCGGCCGAAACAGGCCGGGGGAGATGTTCGCGGCCGAAACTGGCCGGGGGAGATGTTCGCGGCCGAAACTGGCCGGGGGAGATATTCGCGGCCGAAACAGGCCAGAACAAACTGTTCGCGGCCGAAATGGTCTCGACCCATTTCTCTCAGGGTCAAAAGGAAGTCACAAGTATGGTTCAGCTTGGGAATCAAGAGTTCGTCTCTCGGGATAGCGGGATAGGGCATATTGTTTTTGGAACGAGCCCCTTGAAGAAAGACAGTGGGATACTTCGATACTTCAGCTTCGGGTCATTCCAACTCAGCAAGGCGAAGTAGCTGCGAAACAACACAAACTCGCGGTTGGTCCGATTCTGGTGGGTGTGCCGAAAATCATGGATTGCTGGCGAGTCAATATATATATATATATATATATGTATGCCCTCCACTCATACATATATATATATAAACTGGGATGTCCTCAGATCCCCCGCTAAAAGTGAATAACTTTTAGTGGGTTAAATGAAAAACCAACCACTAAACACTAAAATGCGAAAAGGCTAAGGAACCGGATGGCTGGGAGCCACCAAGTATATATATATATATATATATACATGGGTCAAAATCCCGTACCCCCAGTTTCTCTTAAAATAGGCTCTAAAATGGGTGGTGCACCTACCCCAAAATGGGATACCAAAACGGTTTTGACAATATATATATATATATATATATATATATATATATGTATTGCCCGCTTGGCCGGTCGACCGCATCTCTACGAGCCGGCGCTTTGGAAGCGCTGTGTCCTGGGGCCCGCGCCACCACGGCGCGGAGCTCCCGCGGCGTGTAGCGGCGCTCGGGCAGAAAGCGCAGGGCCAGCCACAGGGAAGCCTCGGTCGGCTTGGAGCAGCGGGGGTTACTTGGTTGACGTTGGGTTTGGGGAGCAATTCTCAAATCTTAGCAGTTCAGTGGTTGGATTTCAACCAAACCACAATAAGCAAAAATGGGAAAAATGTGTCCCAACAACAACCCCGGTTGGGTGGGGGGCGCTTGGGGGAGTTGGCGGGGTTGGGGGGGGAGTCGGGGGGGTTGGGTGAGTTGCTTTTTAATGTATAGAATATATATATATATATATATATTTGGGGGGGGGGGCGGGGTCCAAACTTGGAGATTCGACCCACGGGTAAGTAGGTTAAAGCTACGAGGGAATGGGGCTTCCGCATTCCAAACCGTGATTGTAAGCTACATCCAAGAAGGCTGGCGGATTTACCAAAGCCCAATAGAAAGAGGAAAGGTTTTACACTGAGAGAGCTCCTACCTGCTCTGTTAGAGCAGGATGTCTTGAAGAGAAGGTCGTTGAACCGGCAAACCCTGCTGCCCAGTGGAAAACCAAGGACCAAGGAGCTTAAGGTTTAATTTAACAAATCAAAGTGTCAAAGAGGAGAGAATCCAAAATGAATGAGGAAACCCCTAAAAGTAACTTTGGAGAGAAAGCCTAAGTCCTGGAAAACCCTTGGCTCCGCACTGGACGTCTGCACGTTGCCCGTGGGCACTTGGACGGGTGTCCGGCATGTGGCTCCAGCGAGCTTCCCATGCGCTTCAGACGTTCACCGCACGTCGACCGTGGGAGCGTCCTACTTCGGGCCTCCGGGCCGCAAGCACGGGCCCCCGACCTCCCTGGTGCTCGTCTCAAGGACATCCCGTCCTGTTTCACTTGGCGAAGGTTGAGCACACCCGCTGAGATGCTTCTTGATTTGTGTTTAGCCAATGACCGGGCTGCACAAAGCCTTGCTTGCTTGCTCAACGCAGGTTAAAAACAACTGAGGCTCAGCTCCCTGTTCCGAACAAAGCTGAACTGGTGCCCAAAAACAGGCGTCCCCTCCTTGTGGTTTCCGGTTTCAAGTTCCCCTGCAAACGCTATCTGCAATCGCGAGGAGCGCCTCGCGTTGTCGTTAGGTTCTACGACCTGTACATAACCCATATGAAACCAGGCAGTTGAAGCGCCAACAATGGCCCATCGGGGTTTGGCGTACTGCTCAATTGGAAATACTTCGGGACGTGTGGCTTTGAGTAGGAAACCCTTTGGACATCATGTGGGGCAGTCATCAAAAGGGCATGATCTTCAATTAGCAGCCCTGTGCGCATCAAGGTGTGGACTTTTGGAAAACCCCATGATCTGAGACACCTGCAGGAAATCCCTTTTCAGGAACCCTTTTTTTTGGCAGGTGTTTCGCAAATGTCCTGCACACATTCCCGCAGCTTTCCCATTCATCGCACTCGCTTTGGTTCGGCCCGGCCCGAGATTTGAGCTCCGGGCCCAAAGCTGATGGCGATCCCGGCCGGGCCAGCTCTGGAAGACTTGGTCCGAGAGGTAGGTCTGAGGCTTGGGTTTTGGTTGGGGTTTTTGGGGTGCACTTGTTCTAGGCGTCCCACCCCCATTCTTTCCAGATATCCTTCTTTCTGGAAACCTCCAGAACAAAAAAATAAGCTCAGGTGATATCCCCAACAGTATGCGGTGCTTTCTTAGTGCTCGCGCCACCCCGCAGCCCTCGCAGAACCTCGTGGAACCCTCGTGGAACCCTGGTGGAACCCTGGTGGAACCCTGGTGGAACCCTCGTGGAACCTTACCTCAGGGCCGCCCCGGACCACCCCAGAGCCTATCTGGGCTGAGACCCCAAAGCTTTCAGCTGTTGGGGAAAAAAACGACCGGTGTTTGAAAAGAACGATCGTTGAAAAGAATGGACAAGGAATCAACCCCTAGAGTCATGATTGACAAAAGGTGGCTGTGAATTTTGACGGTTGGAATGCCCAACCGGGAGAGCGATTGCACAACCCCCCACATAAAATGATGTGCAATCAAGGGGAACCCGAGCATCCTCACCTTTAGGGAAGACGCAGTTTGGGAGTCTCCGCTTGAACAACCCCCCACATAAAATGATGTGCAATCAAGGGGAACCCGAGCATCCTCACCTTTAGGGAAGACGCAGCTTGGGAGTCTCGGCTTGAACACCTGGGATGCTCGCCGATGTCAAGCCAATGGCCTGAACTGATTCACAGGCTGAAGGCCGCCTAAAAGACAGGTAGTTAAGTTTATTAAATTAACTTGATAAAATAAACTACACTTGTTGCTGTGTAAAAAAATGCCTTTTTAGTCAAAACCTTTGTAGATTGCAGCTTTTAGCCAAATGAGGGTGCTGGTACTGACGGCGGCCTTTGGAACTTCTCCCAATGATCTCATTTGGGCGTCCTTTTCAACCCGCCTTCTCGAGTTTCCCAGACGTTCCAGGCTTCCAGGTTGTCTGAGGGGTCCCACGTTGATGTTGAACTGAGCTCGTCAACAGTACACGTTGAACTTTCCAAATGTTGGGCAAGTCCATTCCTTCCGCTCAGTGTTGGAAGTTCCGCCGGCGCGGAGTTTCGGCCAAAGCTGGCTTCGGCTCATGGTCGGGGGTGACATCTCAAATAAGCTGCCAGCTGGTTTATTGGGAAACCCCCAAAAGGCATGAGGTTTTGAGAAAAGCCCTCAAAAAATGTCACTTTCAAGGGCCCCCAAGTAGTTGAGCCCGTTTCCCCCAAGTGTCTCTCCCCCAACCTCGCGGCCCCGCCTTCAGCAGCCTCTCGAGCACCGCGGACCACATGGCCATCTCGAGCTCAAAGAGCTGGTAGAAGCCTACGCGACGTTTTTGCCGAGAAGCGCTTGGGAAATGGCCAAAAAAATGGGAGCAGCAGAGGAGGAGCAGAACTGGAGATGTTATGTAAAATTGGTCAGCAGAGCAGAACTGGAGATGTTATGTGTTGGTTTGATAAAACAACAAAAGCTTGGAGATGTGTTCTGTGTCAGGGAAAGTTGCTTGGAGGCGAACTGGAATCAGTTTTCTAGATGGCTATGGAAGAAGCAGGTTAGAATCGTGAAGTGGAGTGGCTCTCGTCACGGATCTGTGAACCTGCTCGTGCTTCGAATCTATGTATCTTTTGAAAGAAATCCCGTGTTGTCCCCTTGCGAGGGGAAAGAGTCTCGTGAATCAATGTCAACATTCGCCATGAGAGCCACAATCAGAACCCGGTAGATGAAGGTTAGTAGGGGACGTTGTACCGGGTTTTAATTGTGACTCACGAGGCATCCGAGCGGCTCTGCTCCTGCCAGAAGAGCGCCTCCTTCTCCAGCCATTCCGCGGGGATCCGGAAGTTCAGCACCTGAGATTCGGCTTTTGTTTACCCGCCCCCAATTAAACCAACCGAGCTGGCCGCCTTGGGAAAGCGCGGCCACCTGACCCAGGACCCCCCCAAGCCACATGAAAACCTGGGAAGATTGCCAGGAACGAGGCCAGGAGCCATTCGCTCACTCCTTCGGCCAAGGAAAGCCACCTTGAGGCAACTCGAAGCCGCAAAACTCCGCGCTGCGTTGCCTCCGAGGACCTGAAGTCTCCGATGGGCAGGTCCTTTCTCAGGGACCCGGGTCCGGCCGAAAGAAAATCCCAAGGGTCTCACCATCCCTAATTGTTTTTTAAGTTTGATGGGGTTTCGTGACCCATCCCTAAAAACAAACAAGTGTTTGAGGTGTTCCAAAGCCGAAAGCGCTTGGTTCGGGCCCACCTGTTGGTTGCAACCGCTTTTCAACATCAAACTCATTGTGGGGTCGAGTCTTTCATGGAACCGACTCAGGGTGGTTTCCCTTCGATTGCCCCCAAAAAAAGCAACGACCACAAGGCCAAAAAGTAGCCGCCGAAAAGTTCCATGGGTCCCAAAAGGTCTCCACGAAAAAAATCTCCGGCGCTCTCCATCCGGCCGATCCCTTTTCGCCACGGCGCAGGTACAGCGCCCTGGGCGACAAAAAGCGACGACTCCGGGCCCGAGATGTTGCGAAAGGGATGTCTTGCAAGGTAAAAGATGACGCAGCCCATCCAGATTGAAGGGTTGCTCAATTGTATAGAAGCTGGTCCACACTCTTGCCCGCAAAATGCCTTTGAGTCGGGAAATCGTACAGGCTGGGAATGCCAATGCATTTTGGGCTTCATTTCATGGAGGCTGAGGTTTTGAAGAATGCCATGCAAGAAGCTAGATTCAAGCTTCCAGCTGAGAATGTTCCACCAACCGTGCGCTCTCAATGGCCTTTTGATTTGGTGGCCGCAACTAAGCCTGAAATCACCCGCATTGCTCGGCACGAACTGACGGATTGGGAAGGGCTGTGGTATGAGGCGCAGACCGCACTGTCCGAGTGGGTTGGACAAAAAAGTTAAACTGCCTTCGCCACATCGGTGTGAATTAATGGATCAATCACGGGCCCCAGCTTATTAAGAGGGGGGTGTCAACCTGGGTTTTGTGGTTGGAATCATCACCTTTGGAGGGGAACAACCCCTGGGGCTGATTGCTATGGGGTCAATATATTTCTTCTTGCGGGGAAGCAACCGGTTCTCCTTGAAAAGGTTGTAAGTGGCCGAGCAAAATGATCTTCCGAACAGGAAGATACACTGTCCAGCAACTTGGGAAGCAAACCCTGGAACCCTCCCCGCGCCTCTGAATTCTCACATTCCACTGCCAGATAACGAGGCGGAGAGTGGAGAAAGTCATGGATGACCTCAGGACAACACTGGAACCACCGCAAAAGTGGCCTGTGGACACTGATGTCCACAAAGGGTCCCTCAAATAAAATTCATGCCCACATCAACCATGTTTGAAAGGACAGCCATGGCACCGGGGTCACCTAAAGCTGGGTCTAAACTAGCCCTTCGATCCTGAGAGGCTTGGACCAAAATAGGACCCCCCCCCATTTTGCTGCCAAAAAAAACCTGAAACGAACTTGGCCAAACACGTAAAGTCACTTTTCAAGGAAAGGGCACCCCTACAGTGGTCAGACCCCCCCAGCCCCCGAAAAACCAAAAAGTCCAATGAGGCCTAAGAACCACGGCTTTACCCCGAGTGAGCTTGCCATAGGTAGCATCTGAGCATGTCGACTAAGGGAATTCCCGAAATGCTTGGTGTCATGTTAGTGCCCTTTTGAACCAACCCAACCCAGCTTTTAAAGAACCTTCCCATTAGTTCGAGGGGGTTCCCTCCAAAAGTGGTCCAGCCCCCGATCAAAATCCACCAGGAGTTCTACATAGATCTGGGTTGCCCATCACCCTCAAAAACTCACTTCCTGAGTGGATTGGCAAAAACCAAGTCCATACTTCCTGTTTACCACTAAAACTGCTCCGAACCCAAAAAGTGTCTGAAGTCGTGGCCATTCATTGCAAATTTGTTGATCTTGATCCACCAATCAACTAAACCTTCATACAAGGGGTGGTTGATCTTGAACCAAACAACTGGAACTTGACAAAAAAAGTGGTGACAAGGCGAGGGGCTGACAACTTCAACTAAAACTGGAACAACTGGAAGAACTGGAACTTCAACAAAAACACCCGAGGGAATAAGAAGACGCTTGGCGCCATCCGTCCAACTCGACGCCTGGAAGAAGTCCACGTCCCGGTCCAGGACCTCCTCAACCCCCAGGCGCTCCCTGGGCCTCAGAGAAAAGCGAAGCATCGCTGCTGCGGTCTGTGTCCTTGTTGTGTAATACGTATGTGTGCGAACATATATGTGTATATATATATATGTAGATGTGTGTACTAGCATATACAAAAATACACAAATAAAGATACGTACCTTGCGTTTCATGGTTGCAGAAGAGGTGGCAGAAGTGGTTGCTTCACCTCGGCTTTTAATATGTTGTTCAAACACAAAAACAAGACACTGGCTGTAAACCCCAATGTACTCAACCGGGTGTGAAATTCAGTTCGCAAAACCGAAGAAGCCCAACGGAACGCGTCGATCCCCCAAATACCAACGAACACTGGTGTCTTAGGCGGTGCAGAATTTCGTCCATCCATAAACCTGCGGTGCCTGATCCTGAAAGAGAGATATAAGGACCCCTGAACCCCGTAACGACCCACGCAATTTAAAAAATCCACCGCTGTGTGATTTCTGCCTGGCTTGGTGAGACCCGTTGTTGGGCGCTGCTGTCATAATGCAGACCCCGGATTAATAAACCGGCCCCCCCTCCCCCCCCCCCCTCAAGGTCACAAGGTCAGGTCTGTCATTTTTTTGAGGGCCCCCCCCCAATAGTGGGAAGGGGAACCTTGTGGGAAGGTTAGGTCAGGGAACCTTGTGGGAAGGTCAGGTGAGGGAACCTTGTGGGAAGGTCAGGACCTTGTGGGAAGGCAGACCTTGCTTTACTAATGGGGGGGTGTAAAAGCAGGGCATCAACCATGGTAGATTAATAGGGGGGTGCTGGCTTTACTAATGGGGGGGTGCTGCTGTTGCAGGTAAAAAAGGAGCTGGTGTGCAAAAGCAGGGCATCAAGCATGGTAGATTAATAGGGGGGTGCTGGCTTTACTAATGGGGGGGTGCAAAAGCAGGGCATCAAACATGGTAGATTAATAGGGGGGTGCTGGCTTTACTAATGGGGGGGTGCCGCTGTTGCAAGTAAAAAAGGAGCTGGTGTGCAAAAGCAGGGCATCAAACATGGTAGATTAATAGGGGGTGCTGGCTTTACTAATGGGGGGGTGCAAAAGCAGGGCAGCAAACATGGTAGATTAATAGGGGGGTGTTGGCTTTACTAATGGGGGGGTGCTGCTGTTGCAAGTAAAAAAGGAGCTGGTGTGCAAAAGCAGGGCATCAAACATTGTAGATTAATAGGGGGGTGCTGGCTTTACTAATGGGGGGGTGCAAAAGCAGGGCATCAACCATGGTAGATTAATAGGGGGGTGTTGGCTTTACTAATGGGGGGGTGCTGCTGTTGCATGTGCAATAGTTGGGCAAGTTAAAATTAGATTAAAAACGCATGATGTAGCGGGGGGTTTGGGGGAGGGGAGCTTTAATAGGGGGGGGTTTCGGGCGAATCTTTTTGTTATTGTGGGGGTGCCAGGGCAAATTCCTGGGTTTCAATTAAAACGAGTATTGGCGAGGGATTTTCCAGGAAAACCAGGCGCTTTAATAGGGGGGGGTTTATTAATCCTGGGCTTGCATTATTGCGGCAGCTTCAAGGGGGGTCGACAACTCAAACACGCTTACCAGCCTGGGTTGGTGAGGCAATCTTCGTTGCTGTTTTGAAACTGCCACTTGCCGGTCGGAGACTATCAAAATGCAAAGAAAGTCCGGACCGCGCAATCTGATTCTCCATCTGAGTGAGCTTCAGAAAACACGTCGAGCCTTCTTGACTTGATGTGCCTTTTTGGGGTCCCTAATTTCTTCCTGATCAGGCAGAGAATCAACAGGGGGGGTGGGAAAAAAGTCAGGGCTCCCCTAGGAAACCATCAGTTGAATAGCACAAATATGTTTAAGTATTATGATTTTGGAAGAACAGAAGTTTGTCTACAGCTCATAGGGCTTGCCCCTCATTTGTGTCGTTCAAGTCGCATGTCTAGATGTGGCATTCCAGCTGCTGCTGATAAGTATGTCCTCTTCCCAGTGTTCCCCAAAAGAGTTGGGAAACCCTTCATCCAAACATCAGGGATCGAGCTTATCTGAGGGTTCGCCAGTGACAACTTGTTTCTATGGTTCCAGCAACCAAGGTCAACGTCCCAAACCGCGAAGGGCAGGTTCAGAATTTTGGGGACCACCCATGGGGCCAGGTTTCCACCACCCCCGCACTGGGTTCTATTGGTTGACTCAAAGGAAGACTTAAACCCAGAAATGGATAATTTCCCAAGGGAAACTTCTGTGGATCAAGCAGCCTACTTTCGGGTCAAACAAAAACAAGCCGCGCCCCCATTGTGTACCCGCAAATGACCGAACTTTGTGGTGCACCAAGACATATTCTCTGATTCTGCTCCATATCTACCCTCCTGTCCAGCCACGGAACCCACCGGAGAAATGCTCCCTTTCAAGGGAGAATAGTCTTCCACCTTAGTCAGGTCCATGTTGGACCGGAGAGTAACCAAAATTAAAACAAACATCAGAGGACCTAACCGCCCACCCCGCAGCCCCCAGCCCCCCCCCCCCCCCGGGCCTCCCCCCCCGCCCACAGGCCCGCCGGCCCTTTCAGCCGGGACCCCCGGCAACACGAAGGTGCGGCCACGCACAGAGAAGCTCTGGACCGTGTCCATGGGCCAGCGTGTTTATGTGGTCCACTATATGTACATATATATATATATATATATATACATAGATGTATATATATATACACATATATATATATATATATATATATAATCATATGCATACGTATTTGTATATATATATATGTATGCATTATATATATATATGGTCACCCCCCCCCAGGGCCTACCTTTGCCCTCTTCTAGTTGAAGGTGTCAACTCTACTCTGTGTGCCTCTTTGGTGAGCATATATATATATATATATATTTTTATGCATGCATATATATATATATATATATATGTGTGTTTATCTTCATTGCGTGGGTATGTACTTGCACATGCCTATAGCGATGTACATGTACATACATATGTCTGTGCGTTTGTGTGTGTGTGCTGCATCATATAAAAATATGTATGTATTAATATGTAAAAATATATATGCAGAGGTTTAAGTAAAACACAAACAACAAGTGGTGACGAACCAGTGGCGATGTATGGCGACAATTCGGAGACGTCCCTGGATTTGTGTCAGTCCATTCTAAAGCTGCGTGTCCAAACTGGAGAGTTGGACAGTCTTCAAGCAGCCAAGTTCCTTTTCCGGGAACTGCGTGTCAAGCAGCCAGGGTCCTTCGGGGTTTAACTCAGTTGTTCAGTGACCCTGGAAAAAAAAAGGAACCCTTTCTTGGGAAGATCATTTTCGTGGGGCAGCCACCCAAAAAAAAAAGGGGGGAAAAGAATTGGAGCCACTGAACAACTGAGGTAACTCAACTGGATCCAAGGTATGGCAAAGGAGCCGATGGAGCTGAGACGAACTGGTTTCAATTCCACCCAATTGTTCGACGTATTTCGACGCAGCGCGCGAGAGTGTTCCAGGTCGAGGTCTGGGCCAAACGCAACAAGTCGCCGTGACTTGGGTATGGGTCAACATTAAACCACTATGGGACTGCAGGTCTTGGCCCTTGTGTTCCATTTGCCAGGGTTCCGTTTTGGGTACCTATCTTTTTCACCCACTTCTGGAGGTCTAACCCAAGCCGATAATACCAAGGGCGTCCTGTCGCCGCTTGAGCCGAAGGCTGTGGAGCTGCTAACACCGCCAACATGCGAGCTGCTGGCCCCAACTAGCCTGGTTTTGCGCTTTGGAACAGCCACATGCTCAAACACATCAGGCAGAGAAAACATTTGAGCAACCGAGTGTGAGTGACTCGCCTTTTTTGGAGAACCAACCAACTCGAGGGGTCCTTGTGAGGGGTCCTCGTGAGGGGCCCTCATGAGACAAACCCATACAGTCGCAACGGGCGGAGAAAAGAATGTTGACATCAACAGAAGAAAGCATACGCGGGCGCCGCCCCCGCACCACGGAGAAATTAACCGGTTGACCAGGCTTGGCGAAAACCTGTGCCTTTTGTGGCAACCTCCAAAAAGCAAACGCGGTATTAACCACAACCAGACACAAAACCAAAGAATAACTCACCATCTAAGACCGAACGAAGCGGATCCTACATCGCAACGGACCTTCTCCCCATCCCCCGGGCCAACTCCAAATCGACTTCTGAGTCAACCGAAATGTTGGGGGCTCAACCGAGACACTGCCCAAAGGATCTACAGAGCCAAAATAGTTGTTTTTTCCCTCAATCTGGGCAGCCCAGTGGGAAGCAAACACTGCACCAATCAAAGCGCATTCAAATGGCAACGCCACAATGGTTGGACCTATCCTTGCTTTTGCAAAAAAGGGACGAAGCCCAAGCGAAGGCAGGGGGTTTGCATCGCTCCCTCGATCTCCCAGCTTCCGCTTCTCTCCTGCTTCAGCTGCTTTGCCAGCTCCGGGTTCTCCGTCTCCAGGCGCTCGAGCATCGCCTCGTGCGCGCGGCCGGGCGCGGAGGAGCCCCTACGGCTTTGAGGCCTGGACCTAGAAATCTGTGGACCACGCCCGTTTGTTTGTTGGCGAAAGTGATCGGACCTGTTTGGAAAAGGTGGGTGTTGAAGAGAACAATCATTTTGGCCACCAACCCGGCTCTAGCCACTCGAAATTCCGGTGGAAACCCTCAAGTTCATGAAAATAGGTTGGCCAAACCCCCCCCTCCCCCCCACCCCGTTTTTCAATTGCCACGCAAATGGGAAGGGTGAAAAGAACAGGCGCAAGGAGAGAGCCTTCCCATGATTTTCGGACGGGCCTCTCCAAAGCAAAGTACCTTTCCAGGATCTGTGCACTCCAGTTCCAGTTTGTGGTGCCCTGGAAGGCAGTACGGACAATGACTTGAATTCGGTCTAATGTCCCTATATTCGAATTACCCGGAAGACGATCTAAACAAATAAGTCAATCATGAACCCTTGATACAGATCTTACCATTTCAAGGGTCCGGTTCGAGGTGATGTTTGTTGGAATCTCACAGGGACCGCACATCGAACCCATAGAGAGTCCTCAGATCCCCTGCTAAAAAAGTGTGCTTTTAGTGGGTGAAATGGAAACCGCTACTAAACCACGTAACAACCTAAGAAACCGGACGGCTTAGAAGCCCCAAGTTCAATCTGGAAAGCCAACCCCGCGCAGAACCTGGTTGCCTTGCATGGCAGTCTGGTTCACTTGAGCATGCCCTCTGGTCGAATGTTGGAAGCTAGCCAGCCAGCCAGCCAGCCAGCCAGCCAGGCAGGCAAGCAAGCAACCAACCAACCAACCAACCAACCAATCAACCAACCAACCAACCACCCACCCACCCACCCACCCACCCAACCGTGAGACCCGGGAAGCCTCGATCCCCGAAACTCGCCTCTCGGTCCCTAAGCTCCGACTTCCGGTGGATGCGGTGGTACCTGGCGGGGGACGCCCAAAGGCAACGCAACCTCCTGGCGAAAACCCTTGGGGGTGGGGTGGGGTGGGCTGAGTTTGCCATGCCAAAAAATAATGGGGATCTAATCCTTTTGCTTGGAAAGCCACTCCAAACCCTGCTTTTGGGGCACATGTTCTATGGGAGGGAGCGTCTGAACAGGCAATGGCTTCACCAAAACGAGGGGCCTCAGTAGCCTATCCAAAGGACCCAAACAAAAACCACCCCACTGATTCAAACTCGAAATGCAGGAAATCCGAAGGTCAAAGGCCCACGGTTAAGCAGCGAGTGACGCGTTTCAGAGTTCTGCGCATCATCAACGTCTAGATTCCATGCCAGCAATTGCGTTTGACCTCTCGTCTCTTTCTCAAAATAGGGAGCCCCCAACATGGTGGTGTTAATGCTGTTGTCCCTTGAAACCAGGGCGAGAAGGGTTATGGTACCCTTTAAAAACACACACACACACACAAAACATCCCTTTGATGTGGGTGACGCATCGGGTTAGACGCCATCGGCATCGGAATTTCTCCCCGCGGCGCGGCGCACGTCTTGGACTTGATCTTGCTCACCCGCTTCTGTGTCCGCTGCTCTCTGAGCATCAGCGCCTGACCATGAAAGAGGCTTGAGGATAGCTTTGGGAACCCCCCCTTAAGACAAACCCTACCGTTTAGCGGCTTACTTCTTCAGGCAAACCCGAGGCAAAATGGACATTTGGATGAATTACCTGGATGAGCGTCCCAGCTTAGAAAGGAAAGCAAGTTTTTCGGGAAGGGACTGTATGGAGTATGGAGTATGGAAATTTCGCTTGGCCTTCTGGCTCAAAATTTTCAACAGCTGGAGTTACGCAGGTTCTAGTCTTGCTTCCATACACCAAGTGCCATTTTGGGTACTATGTTTTGAGCCACAGCCGATTTTTGGGGCCTTCCACTCCACTTATGGCTTCGAACTTGGGAAGTGGGAGACTTGACAAGCGTCAAACGCACTCTGACCCGCTGGTAAGGGTACATGCCTTAAGCCAAACACCTGGTTCTTACCTTGGCTGTGGGATCCGAAATCATCAAGAACAGGTCAATGTGGGCTTCCAAATAGGGGAACCCATGAAAAGGGCGAATCCTCAGTTTGGCAGCTCCCGTAGACAGCCCAAGTTCATACGGATTGCCTGGGTTCGGGAAAGTCAGACAGTGGAGCAGATACAACACAAGAATAAGCTGATTTGATGCTTTGCAAAGAACAAGAGCCTTGCTTTTGTTGCCTCTTCCAAGTGTGTCAGAATTTTTGCTGCTACGCATCAGCTTGGATGGGGCCAACCCAAAAGCCAGAGGTGTGACCAGAGCGCCGAAACACGCCTCCCAGTCGTTGCCAGGACAGTCAATCAGCTTCCCCCCAACTCGTGGTCTGGATTGGAGGTTTAGTCATTTATCACAAGAGGGCTGACTAATCCCCCAATCCAAACCACCCAGGTTTCCTCTAGGACATGTTGTTTGAGGCTCCCTGGTGAGACTAACCAAATCGATCAGTGACAGTCCCTCCTTGCAACCAGGGCAAGCACATCAAACAGGTGGAAGCACATGAGTGAGTGGCGGTTTTAGCTCGAGTGGGCGTTGCAGTATTGCTCGCATCGCTCCTGAATACCAGAAACTTGTACATTGGGGTCTTACTCCACTGTGCGGCGCAAACGTTGAATCAGGTTGCTAAACTCACTTCATGGCCCCAACCAGGCAAGTAATAAACCAGAGGGAAATTATAGGGAACCCTGCGCTTGGTTCAAACTCTACAGCCGTTCCCTGTCCCGCAAGAGCAGTCCTTTGGCAAGACGGAACAACTGCACCCACTCGGTATGCATTTTGACCCCCAAGACCAAGGGATCCATTGACGTTTTTTTGGGGGGGAAGTGAAGGAGAGCTTCCCAACCCGAAAGAGATAAAGAAACACGGCTTGGCCTTGAGCCTCGCCACCTGCGGCCGAAAAAACCCGACTTCCAGGCGGCATACGGCGGCAGAGTCAAGGGGCCATATCTTTGACCACCCCCCATCTGTTGGTTTGGCAAACTCAGGTTGGCATGAACCCAATCTGGAGAGGATCTTGGCTTTGAGGAGCGACGAACTATTTTTAACCCCCTAGCCTTGCCGTAGGAGCCTGGGGATAGAAGGCCTATCCCTTCGAATCTTGACTAAAACCGGACCGAAACGTCGAACAAAAGGCTTCGA